ACATACTGTACAGGCTAATTTGTTCTTCTTCTCTCGTGCTACCGATTTACTGCATGTTTTACAATTAACCATTTTATTGAGATTATTATTTCTTTAAAATAGCGCTATTTAAATAAGGAGAGTTAAATAAAAACAACAACACACCTGTTTGTTTGGGTGGCGGCTGCCGGGATTAAGGTGAAGCTTGATAGGCTGCCCCACTACTCTCACTCAGCTGCTTTTATAACGGGCACTTAACTACTATTTTTATTAATATCAACGAAGATAAAACACTACTGTTAACTCTATGGAATTTTCTGAATACTATATTGAATAAATGTGGAGATTTTTTAACCGGAGTGTCTATGGATAACTATTAGATGAATATATAGAGAGATAGAAACGCACGCTTGAGGTCTTGATTGAACGAGAGATTCTCTAAGATGTCTGATTTTCGGTTTTAAATCCAAAAATATTATTTTGTAATTTTCATAAATAAAAAGACTTTTTCTTCTTCTTCTTCATCTTCACTTCAGATCCAGAACCTCAACCTCAACCAGGTACGTCTTCGCAAGAAATGGTTGAAGAATCTCCTTTCTATACTCCAAATCCGTTCCAAGTGCTTCATAATGACAGAGAAGTGATGGAGTCAGCAGCGATATCCAAGAAACCAAGGCCTCCTCCGATATTTGTAAAAAATATCGACCTCAACCCCAACCTCAATATCCTGTTCATCCTAACATACCTAACCATCAACAACTTCAAATTCCTCATATTCCCCCTACTTCAAATGCAACAGATCTCACCAGTTTGTTAGCATATTTCCTCGCCGATTTCAAATCCCTAGTTACTCCACTCATATCACTCCTCACAAATCTCGTATCTCACCTCATACCTCCTTTGAAAATTTTTTAATGACTCACGTCCCAACATTCATATCCATTCTCCTTTGGAATGCGAATAATGTTAGAAATCACTTTGACAAACTAATAGCTATACTACGAGACAAGAACATTAATGTAGCCCTAATTACAGAAACTTGACTGACCATAAAACAGCATTTAAAAATTCCACAGTACATAGCATACCGTACTGACCATCCTGACAGTATAGCACATGACGGTAATGCTGTCATCGTACACCAATCCCACTCTCATTACTTACTCCCATTACCTACTCAAGATTTCCTACAGTCAACCGCCATTGTAATCAAAACCTTCTCCTTTCCGGTCACCCTTGCATCAGCATATTGCCCTCCTAACAGATCCATATCCAAAGTCCAGTTCAGTTCTCTCCTCAACTCCTTAGGCCATAATTTCATTCTGGGTGCAGACTTAAATGTCAAGCATGAAGTATGGTGTGAAGAACCACGAATTTTCGTGGCAGAACATTTCTGTCTGCACTCAATTCCCAACTTTTCAGTCTCCTTCCACACAACTCACCAACCTACTGGCCCACTGATCTTAACCGCAATCCTGATATCCTTGATGCTTTCATCCACAGTGGTTTAGGTCCCCTCAATCATTCCCTTACCCGTCTTGAAGAACTTTCCTCAGATCATAGTCCATTAATACTTCAATTATAAATAGTTCCTATTCCTAAACTCCCTTTCTTGTGGTGGTTCTTAGGATGATATTATATAAGTAAGTGAGAAATCTAACAGCTTTAAGAGAAAGTTTTCGAAGGATCTGAGAGGTAAAGAGGCCGTATCCAGGAGATTTACTTAGAGGATTTTGAATGTTGTAAGTGATGTTTGAGCTCAGAAGGATTAACTGATTTAGGCCGGGTTTCTCTATTGGCATAGGGCGCAAACTGCAGGATCTTGTATAGGTTTGGTGCACTCTGCTGATTTGTGATGTTCACCACATTTTACACAACGCGGCAAGTGGGGAAAATAAGTTTTCGTGTGGTCATACGTCTCACACTGCACGATTTCCTTCTTGGGGTATGGCTTCTTTATCTTCACTATAGTGTAGTACAATCTCTTGATTTCGTATATTTTCTCAATACCAGATGATGGCTGTAGGTCCACGAAAAATGAAGGTAGTGGAATTTTATTTTTTACTCCTGGCTGCTACTTATTCTCCTTCAGAACGTTGGTTACCTGGCGTACTTTGAAACCAAGCGTCGTTAGTTCTTCTTTTATCATTTCAGTTGTGGTTGAGGAGTTTTTCTTATCACACTCGTAGCGATCTTTCTTGTTTCAGCTGGTACGTGTGGAAATTTTCATTCGTTTCTGACAGGTACTTCACAATTTTTCAACAGGTCTCTACAGTATCTGGTGTTATTTTTGTATCGTTGGTCTTGTTGAGGCTCCAATAACTGCCGGAGCAGATTTCGTTTAGTTGCGTACACAATAGCTGGAAATGTTTGATATTTTTTACAAATATCGGAGGAGGCTTTGGTACCCTGGGTATTGCTCCTGACTCAATTACTTCTCTGTCATTATGAAGCACTTGGATCGGGTTTGGAGTAAAGAAAGGAGATTCTTCAACCATTTCTTGCGAAGACGTACCTGGTTCAGGTTGAGGAGGTTCTGGATCTGAAGTGTTCACTGTGGTTAATGGAGCGATTTTTAGCAGGCAGCGACCAGTTCTTTGTTTGGCTCGTGAATCACGAGAGGTACTAACGCCGTCTGACCGAGTTCTCTTAGTGGACACCTTAACACCTTATTGGACATCAGTTCTCCGTCAACTTACATATGCAACTACTCCTTCGTTTTCGTTTATTATATATATATATATATATATATATATATATATATATATATAATATATATATATATATATATATATATATATATATGTGTGTGTGTGTGTGTGTGTATAGATAGATAGATAGATAGAAAGATACATATAATGCCCATTCTCAATATAAATATATACTATAAATTGACACAGATATGTTATACTTATACTATTAAAACTATGTGATCCTTAATATAATACGTACTTCTATTATGATTAATATTGTTATTTTTCAAATACTGTATAATATATTGTCCTGTATCTTTTCAATCTATTACAATTGTCTTTATTATAAATATAATTTGGTTAACCATTGTACAACTTTAATCAAACTCTGTTATATTTATTTTGATTGGCACCTCTTGCTTATGTTCATTTCAATACTAGCCAATAGTCACAATTCTGTAACCGTAAGAAACAACGTAAATCTTGTACACATCTTGAATATTTAGCCAGCAAATTATGTACATTCTGCAAACAGAAATATTACCTTCCTCCCCCCCCCCTCTGACTATGTTTACCTGCCTTTTGCTATCTGAAAAAGGACAACCAGGAAATCCTCTCCTGACCTTTTCACTTACCTACCAAATGTGTCAGTACTTCAAAGCCTTCAGTGCTCGAACCACGGTTAGTAAGAGAAAATATTACATTGTTTTTATAAATGGATTTTATACATTATTTTTAGTTTGTATAACTTTTTACATATTTCATTTTTAATATTGTTTATTGCAATAATATTTAAGAATTATGTACCATGTACCTCTATGGTTTTTTACTTACCATTATCGGTCGTATAATATTATATCTCTGATTGTATTTAAAATTTTCAGCCTTGATGATGACTCATGTATTTGGCTTGAAACGTCGGCACAAATAATTTTTTTTTATAATGACTGTGTCCTGAATATTTATCACCCATGATATGTAGAACAGTCGACTAGCTCCCTTCGATGATAAAAAAAAATAGAAAACTAAAATTGTATTTTATTATTTATAAATCGTGAAGATGAAATCTTTTATTCGATCAAAAACATATTTTATGTAATGCAATTGCACATATGAAACTTAAACTGGTTAGTAAATGTTAGTTTTTTGACCATATATGTACATTTTTTTATTTGTTCATCAATGTTATTCTGAGGGGACTTTGTCCCAGAATAAAAATTCTACTCTATTTCATATAGATAAAAAAATTGCATCTGATTAATGAATCAAAACTAATCTACTTTTTTTTTTTAATATTTATTATGATATTTACAGTTGTATAAAAAAAAAAAAAATAGAACTAGTAAATTCTTACAAAGGAAATATAGTGACATGAAACGCATGTTGAGAAACTACCCATTGTTAGCACTCTAATAATATATCTATAGGAAATCACGGGGCCATTTTCTTTTCAGACGCCTCGGGGGGTTATCAGGAATTGAATAGGAAGCAAGATTAGAAACAAGAGGGTTGGAATGGTTATGAAGTTTATTATGAAAGGATAGATATCTCGACTGGGCCAAATCTGATACATAAGGAACATTAAGGTCATTGTGGATGATTTTATTTGTAACAAAGTTAGGAGCATTGAGGATTTTACGAAGGAATTTGGATAGTAAGGATTGGATACGAGAGGAATTTGAAGGTTTAGTGAAGCCCCATAGCTCAACTCCGTAAGTCCAAATAGGCATTATTATGTTCATGTATATGAGTATTTTGAAATTAATTGGAAGGTTAGAGCGTTTGTCTAGTAAGTGTTTAAGTAGTCGAAAACGTCGAGCGGTTTCCTGCCGTTTCAGTCTGGTATGAGGATTCCAAGTTAGACGTTTGTCCAGATGAAGTTAACGGATTTGTTAAACAGGAATAAGTGAGGTTTTGTTAAATGATACTGAAGGACAGGAAGTTATTGGTTTACGACGAAGCGTGAAGGCAATTTGATGGGATTTATTGGAATTTATTTTAATTCTCCAGTTTTGACTTCTTCTATTCTTCTATTCTATTGTATTCTATATACGTTTTGTACCTAGTTAGTAAATAAAATAGTATAAGTTAATTAAAACACAATTAATCACTAGAAATTTTAAGTAATAGGTAACTTATAAAACACTACAAGATGAATTGGAAGAATAAACAGATGTTATATCAGTTTTATTATATATTTTAATCATTAAAATACATCTATGAATGATAGCCATTTAACAATAAAAAACATGATAAATAGATGTCCTCCTCCAGAACGTAAAATAAAAAATAAAATCTAAAGGTTTAAAAAAAATTGTTTGTAGTATATGCATATGTTTTATTTCATTATATGACTATATTATAAGATATATTGCGATAGTATTCAACCAAGACGGATCATGTTGTCGGCACTGTTATCGTTTCTTTGTTGCAGCACTAGGGGTGGGAGGAGGGTGAGTTCAGGTCCGATGATGAAGCCGGGATGGAAGGGAGAGGGAAGGGACCGGCCAAACCGGATGAACCCATCTTCGAAGTCTCGGCTTCTTCCACGGCCAGACCTCTGGACAGGTCTCTCCGATCTTCCGAACCTCATGAAGTTGTCCTTACCGCGGCCGAACCTCATGAAGTTGTCCTTGGATTTGCCGAATCGCATGAAGTTCTCGTTGCCTCTTCCGAAACGCATGAAATTGTCCTTAGCTCGACCCAATCTGATGAAGTTGGCCTTCGCCGATAAAGACAGCGGATTCCTGGCACGCTTCTCATTGCTCAGTGGTTCTTCACCCTGCAATAAACAATATATTTATACTTACTTCTATCAACTTATTATAAGCATTCTTGAAAAGAAAACTTTAATAAATATAATTCTAGTACATTTCTAACATACTGATATAAATTGCACTAAGAAAGCCTTATTTTATATTACATCAGTAATAAATCGAGAATCATAATACTGAAATATTTTAAATAGTTATTATACATACATATTGTATCTTTTTTTTTTTTTAACAGGATTACCTGGGACCGCCTTTAGAAAAATAAACACAAATTTTTAGTGAAAACCTTCATTCGACTTGTATTTCTAATAGTAAATGCTCCCTATTATGTTACAAACAAAACTTTACATCATGATATTAACATCAATTATGTCTTCGACGTTATTCCATCCCGTTTCTCAAAGTTTCATCAAAACCTAATTCATCATCCTAATCCCTTAGCACATCCTTATCCAGCTCCAGCCAACCCAACAATCCTCCTCGAAGGTTAAAAAGGCAGTGGCCTCGAGATCTTTTGTAAATACGTCATTGGAGTCCTGGCAATGGCCAGCTGCTCCACTCAAGTTTTAGTGCCCTTTCTCAGTCTCCACTGGATCCCCATCTCAGTGATGCGGCTGAGAGAGAAGCGCTGGGATCTCTAAGAGTGCTGCCTTATCTTCCACACTTGGGAGAAAAGGCCCAACTTGGAGCTCCCTCGGCTGACTGTAAATATAGTAAATAAGCATGAATGTTTTATTTATTTATTTATTTTTTCTTATTTATTTATTTTTTTTTTAATTTGTGTTGTATCATATTTTAGAAAGCTTTCTTTTTCTTATTTTTGTTATAATTTCTATTATTTTTGTAATTGTAGATATTGTATGAATGAGTTTCTCACATCACAAATACTCAATGCACTTGATTGAGGCAAAATGCATTTTTTCTCAATAAAATAAGATTAAAAAAAAAATAAAAATTATTCCTTTATTTTCATAGATCATTCGCCACATTTCTGTTAAGCTACTTTTAGTATTCTCCGATATAAGGGTCAATTTATATGTTTTAGGAGCTCCAGTTTTTTGAAATGATCTCCATCTTAGGATTACACCACTGCGTTACGGCTTATTTGTGTTTTTGTATTTCTTCGATATAGGGGTCGTTTGTGGACGTTAAGAGAGAAAGAAGATTACTTCACCTGGAAGTTTCATATGAAGGCTTTACTTCAATTAGAAGATCAATGGGACGTCGTGGAAGGTACGTAAGAACATGGGTGCGTAAGACGCTACGGACAAAGACAGGAAAGCTTTGTCGAAAATTTCGTTGTTAGTTGAAAAGGACCTCATCCACCATATCGAGAAATGCTCAAGTACTAAACAAGCATGGAGAATTTACAGTCTTTGTTCGAAGATAATGGGCACACAAGAAAAGTGGGATTATTCTTTGTTTATTATTGAGAGATATTACAATCTGTCACAAATAAGGACATTTATAATAGTGTTCAGAGAGCACATTCAAACTCAACAATAAATAATACAGAAAAAACAATAATACTAAAAGTAAATGTATATAAACTAAAACAAACAAAAAGAAAGTAAACTAATAAAAACAACTAATCACTTACACACACGCTTCTATACAATATCTAAAAAAAAAAAATTTAAAATCATTCACCCAAGATCTCCGAGCCAAGCCTTTCTCCCCACTCGAGGAAGGAATGTAAACTGTAGAAGATCCCAGCTCCTCTAAATCAGACGCCTTACTGGTATTTAGGACCAGTAGAGGCTGATTAGAGGCGCTAAAATCACTTAGCTTGACTGGAGAACCTGGCCATTGACAAAACTCCAATGTATACTTATTCACAAAAGGTCTCTGGGTCACTGCCGTTTCAACCTTCGAACAGAGATATAGGGATGATTGATGCTGGATAGGAATTGTGCAAGGCGATTAGGATGACAGGTAAGGTTCTGGTGAAAAGTGGAGATAAGGTCTAGGACATATGTCATATGTTAAGGTCGTGGTGTAGGGTTTTGTTGGTTACATAGAATGAAGCATCAACTATTGTTCGAAGGACTTTAGATTGAAAGGATTGAATGCGTTTGATGTTAGAAAATTTTGCTGTCCCCCACAGTTCAAGACAGTTTGTCCCTATAGGTTTTTAGGATTGTCTTGTAGACAAGTAACTTTTTTTCAATTGAAAGTTTACATTTTCTGTTTATTAGTCTGTATAGTTGGCCGTATCGTCGGTTAAGTTCTTGTCTTTTGAGTCTAGTATGTGGTTTGAGGTATGTATCAATAGGAAGCATACCAGATTATCATTTAAAAGCAATAAATTGAAAACGAAGGAACGTTTAGAACTGATGCAATAGGAGGCAACAGGTACTTTTTCTTTCTTATTGACGATTATTCAAGGTACACTATGGTTTATTTTTTGAATATTAAAGATCACGTTTTTAAAATATTTAAAGAATATTGTACGTTAGTGGAAAATGAGACTAATTTTCGTGTAAAAACATTACGATCCGATAAGGGAAGAGAATATATTAATCGGAAGATGGAAATATATCTCAGAAACAAAGGTATTAAACATTAGAGGGCAATTAGGTATTTCCCACAGCGAAACACTCTAGCGGAAAGAACTAATAGAGAAATAGTAGACAAGACAAGGTGTTTACCTCAAGATGGCAACTTGAGGTGTGTTGGAGGTGTATAAATTATTGTAGCAATGATATCAAGAAGCCATTGGCCCCCACTACTATATATTCTGTTCCTCCCTTTTGTATCTTCCCAGTTCTCCGTAGATTGTGCTCGTTAAGGTAAGTATGCTTATGCTCCATAAAGTGTTAGTCTCTCACGTTATTATTTATTCTGACCATGCCACTGCGACCCAACTGTTTTTTACTTCTTGCATATTCATCCACTCACATCAATAACCAATGATTTAAAAATATCAAACGATAAATGAATATATGTGAATAGATTATTAGAACAAACCGCTTCCAGATTTTTCTATTCCTCATAAAACTAATTATGATGTAATTTCATGAGATATTTACATTGTTTAAAAAAAGTATCACCTCAGGTAGATCCATAGGACTCGGTTGACAACGTTCGACTCCTCCAGAAGAACGCCCAAATCTCATAAAGTTCTTTTCAAGAGTACTCCGGCGGGTAAGAGTGTCAACTAGAAGTGGGTTCCTTAACCTCATCTCTTCTTCGCCTAGAGCGCAGCAATGGTGATGGATAAGCAGCCACGCTCCTACTAGCATACTTCCAAACATCTCAATCTGTAAACATTAACATATACGTTACCCAATTATTTATTACATTGTCATTTTTTATAAACAATAATTTTTGTAAAATCAAATAGAAATCTTAAAATTTTAATCCTGTGTTATCTCAAGTATACTGGACTTGTGAACTGTAATTAAACTTTATTTATTTATAACATATCTGAAACTCCGCTTATAACTCCAACAGGGGCAGTTGGAATGATACCCATTATTAGAGAGTCTCTAGTAATGAGTATCATTCCATCTATCGGCCTTGCGACCTTTTTTCATTGAGCTTGGGTTTGATAATTTAATTATTATTCATTTATTTATTTTTTTTTGGTCTTAAGCTTTCCCTAATTTGAGTAGATACCGATATTCCAAAGACCGACATATGAGACTCACTCCGTTATTTTATTTAAGGACCATAAATATTCTTGCTTAACCAAATATATTTTTTTTGGCTCCTTTTCATACAAATTTTATTTTTACTCCTATTCGACCGATATATCGGCCTTACGTCCCTATTAATTTTGATTCATGGCGTTTCCCGTGGATTATTATTTACATTGCTATTAAATGTGTCAATCAATCACCAACGAATCGACATAAAAATAAATTTGAGCAGATACTAATATTCCAAAGACCTATATATCGGCCTTATGACTACTTTCTATAGATATTGAAAGAGTTTTACCATATTTTTTTTTTTATTATCTCGATTGTGTCCTTCCCTTACCGATTTCTCGGCCTTACGACCTTATTTCATTTAGATTGATAAAGTTTGACCGTTTTTTAATTTATTTATTAATATCATATATATATATACAGCGGGTAGCCGTACGGGCTAAGGAGCTTGCAATAGGTAATCAAAGTTAAGCAACGTCAGGCGTGGTTAGTAGTTGGATGGGTGACCGTCTACCAGGGTAAGCCATGCTGCCCGAATCTCTCCCCCCCCCCATGGGTATGTGAGACCCATCAGCCTACTGGATGCAACTCACACCGACCGGGCGTAGGACTGATAACCCTACCCCGTGCACTTAAATCGGGAATCGGGATGTGGTTTACTAGGATGTTAATAGCCCGCCTGAGGTTCGGTCCATGGACCGTTTCGGGAAAGGAAATATAGGTCCTCGTGCGCCTGCTGACTCCGAGCAGCCATAATCCATGAATCTAGACCGATTTGTCACTGTCCTTGAACCCGAGAAAGTCGGTGAGAAGGACATTGCCAGATTGGCCCCAAAGGGGTTCGGCTATGGAGCTACGGGTGGCCTGCCGCTGCACCATGGAAACCATGGTTCGTAGAGGTTGGGTGACCCACTCCAGGCTATCTGAACTCCCGCAAGTATCACACGTCTGTAAGGAGACCACATCTCGTGGCCAAAGATCTTCATTTTCTGCAGTGCCAACCGAAAAAAAAAAATATATATGTATACATATACATATATATTTTATTGTTTATTATTTATTTTTTTTGGTTGGCGCTACATATCATGAAGATCTTTGACCGCGGGAGATGGTTGCCTAGGCAACATCCCGATTCCTGATTTACAGTATGGGATAGGGTCATCAATCCTACGCCCGGTCGGTGTGAGTTGCCTCCAGTAGACTGATGGGACTCACATACCCGGGGGGCGAGGAATCTCGGAGGAATACCCGAAAAAAAAATATATATATATATATATCTTTTTTTTTTTCGGTTGGCGCTCCAGACCATGAAGATCTTTGTCCGCGAGATGTGGTCTCCTAGACCATATGGTATCCTAGTACAAACCGATTCCCGATTTGAGTACACGGGGGTAGGGTCATCAGTCCTACGCCCAGGTCGGTGTGAGTTGCCTTCAGTAGGCTGACGGATGTAACATACCCGTGGCTGGGGAGTGGGGGGGGGGGTTCTTTGGCAGCATGAATTTCTCTGGTGGGCGGTCGTCCATCCAAGTGCTCACTACGTTCGGCGTTGCTTAACTTGGTTACCTATTGCAAGCGCCTTAGCCAGCTATCCCAGTATAGAAACTATTATGATCACGCAGTACTATCATTCATAAAGGCCCCTCATATCTCTGATTTCCCTTTTCCGACCCGATGGAGATTGTTAGCATACCGTCATTCCCAACGAAATTTTATGCGGTTCTTCGGACGTCGCTAAACATGTACGATTCACCCTAGAAAGTGTGTCGTTAAGAAGTTTGGAATGAACCCTATGAGAAATGTCTTGTAATTATTGTCCACGTTTATAAATCACGGTATCTTGTATACGGTCGTGAGAAAATCACGTCTATTTCGTAATGAATGTCCAAACACTAATTTGAACAGGCGGAGGTGTTCCCCTAACGTATTCTGGAGGGGTAAAATGGCTTCGCGCCCAAGTTGGTTACCTGCTGAATTATAATGCCATTTCATATTCAACTCCACACATTCCATTCTGTTTCCCACAAATGCTTAATACGATCCAGAAGTGTCTTATTCCCCACATACATATGATACGTTTTAACTTGTTTCGTGATATCGTTAAGTATGTGAGAAATGTCTGCTAGTAAAACCGAAGGTAAGATCCATACAGTAAGGATGTTGTGCCGTCCATATTTTGCATGATCTGTTGGTGACACTCCTGTACTAATCAGCCGCGAACGGTGACTATCGTATCAGGCTCGTCGATTTGTTTATGCCGAGTTTCTGCGGGAATTTCATTGGCATCCATTGTGTTTTCTTCATCAACGGGTGTGTCGTCTCCTGTGGTTGCCGCAGTGCGTCTCCTGCTTCACGAAGTGACGGGGACGGTTATCGACTTGAGCCTTCAGTTCTTGTTGTCCCTCATCGACTGCGGATGGCCAGGCACCCTCCTATTTCATTAGCGGTTGATGTTAAGCCGTATGGATCGTAATGATCGTGGGGCCTGTGACAAATCGTGCTCTGAGGTCAGATTTAATTTTATTTTTATCTGATCACATTGGTACCACGGGGAGTCGCCGGATCCCTGGCTGTCGATTGAGGCCATCGGGCTGGGTAAGATCCTCTTCCGGTGCCCGAACTCCACAGAACAGGCTTATTCACTGCTTCATGTAGTGGATTTACGTATAAAGCTCGCGATAACCAGTCTGTGACGATATTCTTAGTGCCTTTTTGGTGTACGATTTGAAAATTTTACATACCTAGTTTTCCTTTCCAACGTCTGACGATTCGATAAATTACTTATGATTATTGATCAACCCTCTCTCGAATATATACGGCCGAAAATGATATACCGCCCAAATGATTGCTTAGAGTTCCCGTTCAAGCGCGTTATACCTTGATTCAGCGTGGGATAGCTGTCTACTTGCAATCACTACCAGCCTGTCTCCAGCGTTCAATTTCAGGTAATATGGATTCGAGTGCCCGTTCGTTAGCATCCGTTGTCAACGTAAATTATTGGAAAATTCAGGAAATGTCAAAACTGACTCCGCTGTAAGAGCCTCCTTGAGCTTCAAAAAGCTAGTCCTGGTTAGCGGGAGGCTCCACTCAAGTAATGACTTCAATTCTATTAAGGTGTCCAAGAAATTTTATTTTCGTTAAAAAAAAAATGGGATATCTCTTTCGACAATAGTGGATCAAAGTCATCCGCCTAGAAGGTTGAAGCGGCAGTGGTCCAGAGACCTGTTGTTAGCATATATTTGAGTTCTGGCAATGGCCAGATTCTCCACCTAAGCTATGTATGTCTGATTATAGCGCCTCTGCTCAGCCTCCACTGGTCCTTAATAATGGAGCTAAGTGAGAGGCGCTGAGATCTCTTAGACTCCTGCCTTTTCTTCCACAATGGCATGGCTCGGAGGTCTTGAGTGAATGAATTTTGTAAATATTGTATAAAAGCATTAAAGTAGTAAATTATGTATTTAAGTAGTTATTTTGATTAATTAATTTTCTTTTTGTAAAGTTTACTTTACATACATTTAGTATTATTATTTTGCTGTTTATTTACTTTTATTTATATTACATAATGTGAATAACCTAGTCTTCTATCACTATTATTATTGTACATAGAAGCGACAGATTGTAATATTTATCAATAAAGAATTGAGAAAAAAAAGTCACATATTTCAATATTTCAATCACTTACTCTGGAATCAAATTATTCACTGTCTGTATAGTCTGTATAGATATTACTTTTCCAACTAGAAATATCACTAAAATGACATTACTCAAAAATGTTGAAATTGTAATTAGTCATTGTGTCAACTGAAAGGCACATATAGCTCAGATACTGAAGTTATGTGATTTACAAAAACAGATAGTGTAACGAGATTCATAGCTACCTGATATAGCTTGCCGTCGATATAATAAACAGAGTTTTTGTTATTTTAATGGTTTTAATGATTTGTTAACTGTAAGCTTTAAGCTTTAAGCTTTAAAAATTCACATTTTTATAATAGTCAAACATTGTATAAAACTAATTGGTTTTCAAAGTAGAACGGTAAGTGAAAGTTGTGTGTTGCGCTCACCAGCATTTTAATTTGGAATATTAAAATCCTTAAAATTAGATAAAGTGCGACCATAAATTGATGCCCAACAGAGGAAGAATGAGGATAAAGGAATAGAGTGGAAAAGGGATGGAATAGGACGATCTTTAATTTAAGGTCAAAGTATAAGTATAATATTACACGTATACTAAAAAAGATCTACTCCTTCTCATATTATATCATGGTCAACCATGTCTACATCATTAAAATTATGGTTGTTTAAGCAACTTTTCTAATTATGGCAAAATAACTCGCATGAGTTTGAATAAGGCAACATTCCAAATTTTATGTTAACATTCTTGTTTTTAAGCAGTGGACTGTATCTCAAGGGATTGGTAGGTTAATGATTGTGCAAAAAAAAAAAAAACAGCTTACTGTCTATATGTCCGCCCACATTTTTTTACCTGGAGAGCTCTCCATAGGTGGCTTCTCGTGCTGGCACGGGCGGATCGACGGGGGGGGGGGCTTTCAGGCTGAAGCCCCTCCTCCCCCCCAAAATGTTAAAATATAACCATGTTCTATCGA